GCACACACACCACACGCACACACCATGCACACACACCACACACACACACCATGCACGCACACCACACACACAACCATGCACGCACACCACGCACACACAAACCATGCACGCACACCACGCGCACACACACCATGCACGCACACCACGCGCACACACACCACGCACACACACCATGCACGCACACCACGCACACGCACACCACGCACACGCACACCATGCATGCATACCACGCACACACACGCACACCATGCATGCATACCACGCACACACACGCACACACCGTGCACATACCCACACACCAGGCATGCACACACACATACCACACATGCACACACACCATGCACACACACCATGCACGCGCGCACACACACACACACACACCCCCCTCTCTTATGGGATGCCATAAGCCCCAAGCACTATGGCATCCGTCGGCAGTGCTCAGTCCCTTCTCTAAATTACTGCAGCCTAAACAGTGAGGGGGAGAGGCCCTAAGGAAAAAATAGAAAGGGGTAGAAAAAGTATCATGAGATTTTCATTTTCCTCAAAACCTCAATTCAACAGCACACAGTGTGAAATAGAACAAAATTAAGAATAAAAAGAATCGGAAGGGGGTTATAAGCTACCCCATAATTTTCAGTTACTATATTAGGATGTTGACTTAAAATGAAAGTTAGAATTTAGGGTACAATGGGAACTTTGAAAAAGTAAGAGACCGGAGGAACCATCAATTAATTGCACTTCATTAAGATTGTTCTCACTTAGCGTTCATACACTCGCTTTTGACTTTAAATTGTAGAAAAGATCAGCTATTTCTGTCCAGAAAAGAGAGGCTAATTTTAAGGTCCTGAGCCTATTATGTTACAAGGAACTCAGAGCCTCACGCCTCAGCAAGAGGCGAGAAGGGGCGGCTTCAATCGAGGGCTTCATCTCATGCTAGAAGTGGATTTCCTGTGATAACGAGGAACATCATTACCAAGAGCATTTTCCTTTTCCAAATACGGCTTTTCAAATGAGCAAAATACCTTTTGAAGCTATGAAATTATCTCTTCTCTTTTCTATTCCATCTCTTTCTTTCTTTCTTTCTTTCTTCCTGTTCTCTTTCCTTCTTTCTTTTTTTCAAGATAAAGTCTTGCTAAGTAGCCCAAGATGGCCTTGAATACACAGCAACCTGCCTGCCTCGGCCTTCTGAGTGCTGAGGTTACAGCCGTAGGCCCCCACACCTGGCTTCCGTTTCACGCCTTTGATAGTCAGCCTCCCTCACAGAATAGCCCACCCATCCCTCTCCTGCAGTGAGCTTGTTACCATGGGGACCAGGTCAAGTCCCACCCTCTCTGCAGAGAGCCCACATGCATTGCTGAGTGTGACATGGTGACAAGCTGCCAAAGTCTAAAGCCACACAGTCTCCATTAGGGTGCTTCCTAGCTGTGTGGCCTCGGGCAGTCCCTTAACCTCCTGGGCCTCCTCTTCCTCCCCATGTGAGGACTTGACAACACCTGTGTCTCCGTGCCTGCTGCTCACAGGGTCCTCAGTCAGTGTTGGTGCTCCCTTCCCCCTCCTCTTCTTGCTCCTCCCCCTCCTCCTTATCTCTCCCTCCTCTTCCTGCTCCTCCCCCTCCTCCTCCTAACCCCCCTCCTCCTGCTCCTCCCCCTCCTGTTCCTGTTGTTCCTCCTCCTGTTCCTCCTCCTCCTCCTTCCTCTCCTCCTCCTAGTCCTGCTCCTCCTTATCCTCCCCCTCCTCTTCCTGCTCCTCCCCCTCCTGTTCCTGTTGTTCCTCCTCCTGTTCCTCCTCCTCCTCCTTATCCTCCTCCTCCTCTTCCAATCATGGGTGAACCCCAAGGATTTGCAATGGCCCTCATTGGTGCCCATCTTTAGGACCTGGAGAGGGCCACCAGGTCCTGGCAGACTCCTCATACTTCTCTGTCACTTCCCATCTGATCATCTCACTTCCTCTCCCTTCAGCCTTCAACACTCACGTGTGTGTCACTCTTGCACTAACACGGGGATTGGCTCCATTTGTCTGCAAAGAATCAGGTAACAAACACTAGGCTCTGTACTTCTATGGTCTGTTCCTAACCATTCATCTCCACCGCTGAAGTACAGAATGAGCCTTACACAACCTGTAGGCAAAGGTCTGTGGCTGTATTCCAGTGAAGCTGCTCTGAAATATGGCAGCAGCCTGGACTGGGCCACCTGCCAGGTCCACTCCGAGTGTCCTGAGGACAGGACTCAAGCTTCAGTCGCATTTGCGTCCCTATATGCTCAATGAAAGTTGGCTGGAGACTGAATTAGGGTAACAGTCCCACGTCAGTTCCTCCCATCTGAGAAGGTTCTGGAGAGTAGGAGAACGTTCTAGAGGGAATAAGGAGGCGCACACGGTTACCGTGGCCGAGGGCCCACCGCGGGATGAAGGCAGGGACTGCTCCTCTCTGTGGCTGCCTCTTGTCTCTGCGGATGCAGACTGTTGCTTTCATGAGGAGTCGGGAACTGAGGTCTTGCTGTGCAAGCGCCCTGCTTTTGCTACACTGCATGAACCAGCAAAGCACGTTCACGAGGCGGGCTCAGGCCCTTGGGCTGCAGCTGCTTGAGGACGGCTGAGAAGAGAAAGGAAGCCCCTGAGCCCCCACAGCAGATGACAAAGTGCAGACTTTAGCTGCAGCCTGTGGCTTTGCGGTCACAAGTGGGGTTACCTGTACCAAATACATTTTGTCAAAAAGGTATTTGCAGTGTCAATTCCGTTCCGATCTAAGGAAGTAAACCGGACTTGGGAAGGATCTTCAAGCAGAAAGCCACAGCAACGCATTCCACAGCTCTCGGGGTTTCCTTTCCCAGGTGCTGGTCCCCCCGAGAGGGCTAAGCAGCTCCCTACCAAGCCTGCTCACCCGGCTGGACCAGATGCCTGACTACTCCATCTTCCGGGGCTACATCATGGCAAGTACCACAGTCCCCGGTCCCCACAGAGCCATGGCTCGGGTCACCTGGGCAGGAGTCCTCAGAGCCCTGTCTCTTTCCTCCACAGCACTATGAACTGGAAAGCGCCATTGAGGCTGCCGACACTTACACGGTGTTTGCCCCAAACAATGCCGCCATGGAGCACTACATCAGAGAGAAGAAGATCACCACTCTGGTGTGTACTGGGCAAAGAGCCGGGAGAGCTCTGCCCTGGGGGTCTGAACACTCGACCCCTCATGCCCGCAGACACAGGCAGGCAGGCATCCCAGTGCCTGGGCGGAGCCTCCTGGTCTTCTCCAACTCCCGCTGGCCTCTCCCTGGTCCTAAGCAGCCTAGATACGAGTAGCAGGACCTCGTGGGGTGAAGCCTCACCCCTTCTCCTGTTCCCCGTGTTCCCAATTCCTCATATCTGGGGCGAACAGGTAAAGTTTGTCAGAGGATTCTGTGAATTATGAGAGGCTTCAGTCGTGATCTTGGGCTTCAGACCTGAGGGTGGGCCCCATTCGCACAGGACTGAGTGCAGACAGCCCCACCCCTGAGGGTGGGGAGACGCTGCTTCCTGGCCCCACTTCTATCTGGAGCCGGTGGGGGCTCCCGAGCTGTCACACTGGAGGAGCACAAGGCTGCCCCAGCCTCTGCCCCACATGAGAGGTTGCGTGTGAAGTCAGCTTACACACTGGGCAGTTTTCACCTCGGTCTTCCCAAGGTGGCAGGGCTAAAGGTGGTAATAAGATGGGTCTTGTGCTTGGAATCCCACCCAGCCATCTTGAGCCACCACTGCTCCCAAAACTGGGCTCCGGAGAAGTCGGTGGTCTAACCAGAGGCATGGCTCATGGAGCAGACCCTGAGCACTGCCCCACATCAGGAAGGCCACCCCTCCCCACCGCCTCAACCTCCCTGCCTGGTCTCGCCCACCGCCTCCCGGGGACGCTGGTCCAGGCTGCCAGCTGCAGACAGTCTCGCCTGCCAGGTTCCCCTTGGCCATGTGTCCGTGTCATAAGGGACTGTATCTCCCAGGGCATGGGACTTAGCTACTCACCAAGAGGACAGAGACAGTGTTGAGCCCCTATTATAGGTGTGACAAGTCAGGGGGGCCTCCCAGGATGGCGTCAGGCACCATCTTTACCTTTTCCTTTGAACTTGTTCCTGGTGAACACTCTTTGCTTTTTCCTGCATTAGAATAAAACTTCAGGCGGTCTCACAGCTCTCCGGCCTCCCAAAGGTCCTAAAGTCATTTTAAGCTACAAACACAACCTCCGTCAAGTTAGATGATGAGGATGAGGAGGACCTCCCCCCAACACGCTGTGATCCAGTCTCCCCTTGTTTAGTGTGTGGGTCGGAGACTGCTTGCTTCTCCAGGTACCGGCATGGCAAGGTGACAGCTTTCAGAGACAGGCTCACTGCCAGACGATGAGGCTGTGGGGCCTCTGCCTGCAGGAGGGCTTAGCTTGGGCCTCGTGGAGCTCCTGTGTTGTCCTCGAGACCAGCCCTCTGATGCTGTGGCTTCCGGTCTATGTGACCGCTTTTCCTTAATTTCTACTCTCATCAGCCCATGCTTGCTGCGCGTAAAGATCGCTCCGTGGGGAGCAGCCGTCTGCACGGAACACATCCCCAGCACACGTCCCCCACCGGCCTCCAGTCCCCCCACCCCTGGCTCGGTGCCATTTGCAAAAGACCCCCCCCCTTTGTTGGCTGCCCTTTGTTCTGTGCTCTGTCAATTATTTATACTTTGAGTTCTCATATGAGAGACTTGAGTTCTCATGAGAGATTTGGGTTCTCATAAGAGCCGTGGGTTCTCGTGTGTCTGATTTATTCACTTACTATTAGGGTTTCAGAGTGGATTCATTTTCCCACAAATGACTCAAACGTATCTTCTTTTTGAGACAGGGTTGCATTATATAGTTTGGGCTGGCTGTGAACTCAAATAAGTCCTTCTTGATAGCAGCGTGGCCCTCCACTGTGTGGACAGCGGCATGGCCCTCCACTGTGTGGACAGCGGCGTGGCCCTCCACTGTGTGGACAGCGGTGTGGCCCTCCACTGTGTGGACAGCGGCATGGCCCTCCACTGTGTGAATAGCCCGGGAGCTCCCACGTGAGAAGCACCACCAGCCCTAAGGCCCACAGCAGAGGCTAAATCAGTGGAGTCACCTAATCCTGGACTTTCAGCCTCCAAACTATGAGATAAAGAGTCCTCTTTATTAAGTATCCAGCTATAAGTATTTTGTTGTAGCAACAGAAAATGAGCTAGTGCACAGTTCCTTGTAATAATTAACTTTTTTTTTTTTTTTTTTTTTTGTACTGGGGATTGAACTCAGGACCTTGCACTTGCCAGGCAGGCGCTTATGCCACTGAGCTATCTCCCCAATCCACAATCAACTTTTTGAATTGGATTTAAAACCCTCTTCCCCTTCTGCTCAGTGCAGCAAGTGCAGGCAGCAAGCTTCAACAGAGAGCCGAGTCCCCAGCAGGGTCCACCTGCAGACACAGCCCACCCATGTTTTTTTTTTTCTCAAAAGTATAATTTAATAGTAGAAAAAAAAGGATGGGGAGATGGCTCAGTAGAATAAGCGCTTGCCTGACAAGCGCAGGGCCCTGAGTTCAATCCCCAGTACCGCAAAAAAAAAAAAAAAAAGCAATAGTAGAAAAAAATAGTAGGAGCTGTTTAGTTATTTTCACTCCACATAAATACACCTGCAAAGTAAAAATGCAAAGAGGCGCTGGGACTGGAAGGGCAGCCCCTGCAGGAAGCACGGAACTCCCCAGCGCTGAGAGGATGAGGGGAAGAGGCTAGAGCTCGGAGAACTTAGAAACCTGGAGGTGGGGCTGGATCTGAGGAGGGTGGACCAGCTGGTGTCGCATCTCTGAGCATGGAAGAGGCTCCTTGTTCCTGCAGAGGTCCCTGTGAGCCCAGCGTTGCCTGGCTGGGGTCTCAGAGGCAGGAAGGATGTGATAAAGCTGGATCTTCAGGCAGCAGGAAGGTGACCCCAGACACAGCTGCCACTGCAGGAAAGAGGGGCGCCGCACCTCCTCGCCCTGTGGGCAGCAGCTGACAGAGAGCTACCTGCCGAGGAAAAGGAGGTGGAGCCGCAGCTCCAGCCAAGAGATGGGAGCATGGGAGGCGGCCCGAGCTGGGAGACAGCGACCACACCCTGCCTCTCCCTGCTCTGGGCTGTCCCTATTCTGCTTCCTGCTCTCATTAAGTCCAGCTTTGTTTTCACTAGGGCTGAAGTCAGGGAGTAGGAAGTGTTGGTGGTTGGGAAAAGACATCAAGAGGGCAGGAAGACGGTAAGAAAGGCCTTAATCCAGAGCCCACTCCGGCTTCCTGTGGGTCGCTCCTCTGCTGCTGCAGGCGCCGTCTTGGTTAAGGCCCAAGGCAGCAGCTCCTGCAGCCTGGGTGCCAGATCTGGGGGTCAAGGGACACCCCACTCTGATGTCCCACGCCAGTGCTATGGACCTAGTCAGTCTCAATGCAGTGACAACTATCCTGACCCAATGATGAGCAGATTTCCAGCCTTCCCTGGCTTATGACTGCCTGGGCCTGAGGCTGACCTCAGCCCAATAGACCACCCCTTCTGGAGGGTCAGACAGCTCTCAGGACCTCCAGGAGCAAACAGGCTGGGTATGGGGCTCTGTCTCTCTCCATCTCTTTCTCTCATCCCTGTCTGTCTCTGTCCCTGTCTGTCTCTGTCTGTCTGTCTGTCTGTCTGTCTGTCTGTCTCTCTCTCTCTCTCTCTCTCTCTCTCTCTCTCTCTCTCTCCAGCTGCTCTACCCAAAGAAGTTATCTCCAAGGTCCACTCCCAACCTCCCAACTTTCCTACCTTCCCTGTAGGTCTTAGAGTCACCTGGCAGGCTCCTCGCCACCCTATTTGGAAATTCTGCACACTCTCCAAGGTGGTCTGTTTCACAGCTCACTTTATTGTTTAGTACCTTCCGACTCTTAATGCCTACCAAGACTCACACTGTAAAAGCCTTTGCTGCCCTTTGTGGCCCCGTCGTGCTGGCAGGGTGGGTCACCGGCAGCCGCCCACTTGCTGATGTGCAGGCCCACTCCCCATGTGTGGTGCAGGAGGAGGACACGCTCCGCTACCACGTGATCCTGGAGCAGAAGCTGCTAAAGAATGACCTTCACAATGGCATGCACCGCGAGACCATGCTGGGGCCTGCCTACCTGCTCGGCTTCTTTCTCCGCGGGGACCAGGTATGGCCCTCTTCTTTATTCATCACCCAGGCTCGGTGTCCCGGCCACTAGCAGGGCTCACCTCTTGCACACTGGCGCAGTCTCCCTGCACCTCGCAGGCCTTAGCCCCACAAAAGACTCCTGTTTGGACAGAAAGTCATGACCAACCCAGACTGTCGGCTTCCACTTGCCTAGCGCGCAGTCAGACTTCAGATAGCCGGGGTGGCCCGTGAATTGTGGGGTTTGGACCCCAACAGTCGTGGGACTTCCACACAGAAACAGTAAACTCAGGGGACAGTGCCCACCCACTGGTCTCCAACATGCAAGGAAACCTGGAACTCAGCTGCCTCCCAGGACATGGCCTGGCTCCAGGTGCAGTGATGCACGCGGGACCCATCCAGCAAATGAATTAATGTGGCGATCAGTGTGCGGTCACTAACAGCCACGGTGGCCTTGCAGCATTCATGTCACACAAAGCCTAGATATTTAAATGGCTAGAGTTCATAGAAAAGAATTAGACTAAATGTTTAAAAGATTTCCTTTGTTGTTTGGTGGTTGTGGGGTTTTTTTGTGATTTTTTTAATTGGTTTGGTTTCATTTGGTTTGGTTTGGCTTGAGTTTTTTAAGACAGGGACATACTATATAGTTCAGGCTATTGTTGAACTCACTATGTAATCCAGGTTAGCAGCAAACTCTCAGTGATCTTCCTGTTTCAGCCTCCCCAGCACTGGGGTTATATATGTGCACCACCACACCCAGTGACTGTTGTTTTTGAGACCGTCTCACTGTGTAGCCCTGGCTAGTCTTGAACTCATAGCAATCTTCCTGCCTCAGCCTCTTAAGTATTGGTATTAAAGTCATATGCCACCATGCCTTTAACTATTTAATGTATTTCAAACATAAGCTATTTAATACATTTCAAACATAAAAATCATATTTGTGTACCTTAAATGTCAAGTGAAAAGATGAATCTATAAAATGTTAACAAGAAACTCATGGTGATATTCTAAAATAAATCCTCACAAGAAAAATTAATAAAGCTGGGGAGGCAGCTCAGCAGCATTAGTACCTGCCTGGCAAACACAAGGTCCCAGTTTCTCTGGTACAGCAAAATAATAATAAGAAAGAAAAGAAAGAAAGAAAGAAAGAAAGAAAGAAAGAAAGAAAGAAAGAAAGAAAGAAAGATCATTTTTTAAGAACCACTAAGGACTGATAGAAATGAAATTTTAAGCAATAATATACGTCTTTTTATTTTTTTTGTTTTGTTTTGTTTTGTTTTCTACAGTTTTATTGATAAACAGATAGCAATGAGACAGTTTCAAATCAAATCGGAAGTACAGTTTCAACAAATAATACACTGCATATATTCTTCTTAGTGGTTAATTGCTGTACAAGATGCGGACTTGTGATCCTATTTACAAACACCATTAGAACAAATCATTCTATTCATTAAGACAATGCAACTATATATCTATCCCAACCACTTTGAATACACAGATACAGAATGGACATTCATCGGTGTACCCCATTTTTCCTAAGTTCCGTTATTGAATATTATAGGTGTGTAAACTCAGCAAAATATTCTAAAAGAGTCCAGTAGCCCATAATAGCATTGGGTGTTCTGTTTAACTGGCAATGTCAGAAATTATTGACCTGAGTCCCCCACAGCTTAACTTAACAGCATGGCTTTATTTCTTATATTTCGTCTTCATACTTTTCTACTGGATGGTTAAGACCAAGGTAAAGCAGGACCTATGCAACAAGAGTTGTAGCTTTTTGGTCTGAGAAGGTCAATGAAATGCTCTCAGGATTTGTCCTGAGATCCTGTACCTCAGATTGTAGAACTTTTATCAGTGCAGCCATGTGGATGAGTCACGGCCATTGCTTGGCCAATGTGCTCTCTGTGAAAGCCTGAGAGAGTGTCTTCTCCCCATGTGACTCTCCTTAGGCCCACTCTATGTCATCGATCACTTTCCTCTTTGGCCCCATAATCTTCTTGATCAGAAAATTTGGGACACTACCGAGGTACATGACGTTACAGTACAAGTTCTCATATGTCCTGAGTCTTAATTGACCTTAGAAGGCTAGGGCCAAAAAGTTGGCTTTCCTTGTAGCCCTCCTTTTTCTCTAATTTTGGTCTGCAAACTTAGGTTGTTACCCATCCAGAAAAAAAGCTTATTGTTATTATCAAATGATTTAGGCTATCAATCTTAACCTCACTATCTCACTGCATTTCAAACATCTTAGGCATAATAAGGAACAGGTATTTTTCATCAAGTATTGATATGTCGAACTTTAAGTCCCTACATAATATGATAAAAAAACATTTAAAAATTAGATTATATTTTAAAAAATAGGATAAAGAATTCTATGCTTCTCATGTTTGCACATAAGTCCAAAAATCTCACCATATACAACCTTGAAGCAGGACAGTCCCACAATATTCCTTTTCCTGTCTCTTGCTTTCATTCACCACCCCCTTCTTCTTGAACATCCACCTACCCAAGAGACATCTTAGCAGTAACTGGCATGTCATGACAAGCCGCCCATATTCAGAATACCACAATGACAGGCACTCCCAACATGAAACCACTATTACAAATTACCATCTGCAGTGCAGTAGCTTATTAGTTCACAGGTATCAGTATATGTAGTTAGTCAGGGTGAAAATTACAAGTCTTTTTAAAAAGTAATCTTAGAAACAATTTCTTCAGTGCTGTCAGCCCTGAATTACAAGTAAATTTTCTGTCTATTTGGAGTTCAAAAAAGTCTTTCCTGCTCTTCACTACTTGGAGAATAATCTAAGGGCAAATATTTTTCTGACTGTAACAAATAAATCCACCTATTTTATATTAGCTTTAAGATACATTTTCTAATTTTTCTTGGGTTGGCAGTTACAGTATTGACAAAACTGAGCTTTCATTTCTGGTTTCATTTTATCTGTCATTTTTTTATTTCATCATGTAGAGATGGATAGTCCAGTGTGATTAGCCAAATCAGTTTCAGTGCTGTAACTGAATGATGTCATTTGTTTTGTTCAAAAATTCTTTTACTAGAGAAAGAATTCTTCACACACCGGAGGCTTTGCGCGTTCACTGATAGTCATCTGTTTTTCTGTGACACTGAGCGTAGGAAAAATGCTTTCCAAATGAGTAGGTGTGTTTAAATCAAACTTTTAATGCAGCCCATAATTCTCCAAATATATCCCATGATAGAAGTGATTCAGGGTGTTTTACTGCCAAGTGAAATAGCCTTATAGCGCCAAATGTTCTGCTATGTGGATATGTAAAAATAGCTCAGCACCTTGGAATTCTGGAAATTTGTATTATAATCAGCATTTGAGACCAAATAAGGTTTGCTGGTGGTTTTCCAAATGAACACAGAAACTTGGAGCCCATCTCTGAAATTCAGCCCTGATTCACATCAGCATCTAAACAGACTCAGCTTGCTGCAGGAAATCACAGGGGGCGTTTGTACCCAGAGGGGGCTCAAGTTACATGGGCAGGAGGTCATTTGAGTTTGTTTTCATGTTTTGGTGATAGTGGCAACTGAACTCAGACTTTGCACTGAGCTACATCCCAATCTATTATTATTATTATTATTATTATTATTATTATTATTATTATTATTGTTAATTTTGAGACAGGGTCATTCTGAGTTGCTGTGCTCCCTGGGCTGTTTGAACTTGTGATCCTTCTGCTAATAGGCCCACTTAGTGGGAATGTTGAGGACATTACTTCAAGTATTATGTTCTGAATTTTAAAACCTTACTGCATACTAACTTGACACCTACTTAGTATAATAAAACATTTTCTCCTTTTCCAACCCTCTGTGCCACTATATCTTCACACACACACACACACACACACACACACACATCATTGTTTTTAAAGAGTCATTGATTTTCATTCATACTCACTACTGAATTAGTGCCTTTGTTTATTTTTCATGAATCAAGTATTAAAACACCCTTTCCTTCAAGAAGTTACTATTTAAAGTGGAGTTTGGCATGGCAGCAGTGAGCCACTGCCTTAGTCCTTTGTCTGGGTGTTTACAGACATGGTAGAGGATTAGAACACACCATCTTTTGAATTCAGCCTTGCTGAGAGTTGCCTGTGATTCCCTGAGGGGCAGAGGTGAGCTGGAGAGACAGCTGCGCCCTCCGTGTGTTTGGCTGAGGAAGGACTCACACCTTAGAGCCCCCGGTCACACAGCTCAGTAGGGCCACGTGCAGGACGGTGACTCCCCAGCTTGGGCCAGAGCTCTGTCCACTACAGTGTGCTGTGTCCAGGTGAACAGCGCAGTGCCCCAGGCTGTTGTCACACCGATGGACCCCACACCCATCTTGCCCACTGGCTTAAAATCACTGTAATAAAATCTTGATTCACCCTCTTGTTCACAGCTCTACGTAAACGAGGCTCCAATAAACTACACCAACATAGCCACTGACAAGGGAGTGGTCCACGGCTTGGGGACCGTCCTAGAAATTCAGAAGAACAGATGCGATAGCAATGAGACCACTATCGTTCGAGTAAGTTCTGCCCACGCCCAGTGATGCAGCCCGTGAGTGATGGCTTCATTTTATAAATTTTTACCTTAAGAATTTTCTATTAGCATATCTCATCGCAATCCCTAAGTACAGAGAACACATTTGTGATGCGCTGCACTGGGCTCAGGTTCTACAAAGGCAAATAGGATGCGACAGGACCCTCAGCAAGCCCACGATCTCAGGCAACAGATCGAGCTACCCTGTGGGCCTGCCAGGCTACCAGGAGGGCTGGACTGGGCAGGATTCTGAAATAATGACTATCTCCAAGGGCAACCGGGCGTAGGGAAGGAGCGAAGAGGCGCCTGTGGCAGCTACTGGCCAAGCCTGGCCCACTAGATGAGAAATACAGGGGCAGCATGGCTCTAGCCCCGGGGCAGCACAGGCCCTCTAGCAATGGTAGCAACCACTGACATTTCGTGGGCACTCGCTCTGCGTTGGCACCACTCCAGAAGGTGAGGTACACGAACCAGGGGCTCCTCACAGCACTCTACAGGGGGCAGCTGTGGCCAGGCTCATTTCACAGAGGGCAAAATGAGCCACTGGGGGAAGGAGGGCAGCAATGATGCAGCCATTGTCTCAGCTTCTCTTCTCTCGTTGCTGGGACAAGTACCCAGTATTCAAAATGAAGGAAGGAAAGGTTTGTTTAGCTCACAGTTACTGGAGGTTTCAGTCCGTACTCAGCTGGCTCCAAGGCAGAGGGGCACGTGGCAGAGAGCAGCCTTCCATGGTGGCAGCAAAGAGCAGAGAGCAAAAGGGAAGAGCAGCAGCAACAAGGGCTACAGAGAGCAAGTCTGGCTCCCTTAAGTTGCATTCAGGCTGTCCGCCTAGTACTCACGCCCAGAATCCCGGTGGATCATGAGTTAAGCACAGACTCTACAAGTCTGCCCCATGACTGCATGAGGCTTTGGGGGGCTAGACACAAACCATAACAACCCATGTCCACACATCTGCAGCAGGCAGAGGACTCTCAGGTGCCAGGCTGTACTGACCCATGGGTGCCTAGTTAAGGACTCCGGACCCCAACCTGTTTCTGTCTTAGGAACAGGCAGCTCATAAAAGTCTCTTTCATGGGTAGCGTTTGCTCTGTGTATTGCTGTTTCTAGGAAGCATCTTGACACTGCAGTCACCACCTGGACCTCGTGTTTCCCACGCCGGGTCCTTGGGTGGCTGGCCATTAGTGTCTGAATCTGGCCCGGGTGACTGAACAGGGTTTCTAACAAATGAGGGTTGTTGTTCAAATAATTCCGATTTGGATGAGGTGAGGGGCTGCCCTTCTTGAAGGCTGTCAGAGTCAGAAGACCAGGGGGTAAAGCAGTGGTCAAACACACCCGAAGTCTCTCAGGTGCTGTCTGAAAAAGCTCTGAAGAGCTTGGCCACATGCTCTCCCTCAACTTTCAGTTCTGTGTTCCGAGGCCTCCAGGCTCTAGAGAATACCAGGCTTATTTGGCTCTAAAACTAATAACCTTGCCATGTCTGCTCTGCCCGTGTGCTCTGCCTAGGGAAAGTGTGACAAGTGTCCGTACCCACCCATCTGCCCGCCGGGAACCAAGATGCTCGTAAGTGTTCTGTGTGCTTTGAGAAACCAGCTTCCAGGTCCGAGGCAGCCCGAGTCAGAAAGTGGATGGCAAGGAGACGTCATTGCAGAGCCTTCCTGCCTGCCCTCAGTTCCAGGGACTCTCACTCCACTCTGTGCCTCTTCGTAAATTCTGTGTAACTCTACTTCCTCATACTGTGTGCACCTTTATAAAGCTTTGAATGGATTTTGCAGGCACTAAGGGCACATGTAATGAATAGTTGCCTAAAAGTGTGTCCATACATCTACACGCAATGCAGGAAGGGGATTTCCACTTTCTATATCACAAGAAATGTGAGTACACAGGAGAAGACAGCGCATCCCCAAGCGTACAGGGCTGGGCCCACTCCACCTGCTGGGTTTCCTTTGATAGTTGAAGATGCAACTTTCTCAAAGAAATACATACAGACAAGAGAGAGGCAGACATGGTGTTGGATGAATCGCCCACGAATGTCTCTTATAACTTCTTTGGGCAAGAGTTACTCTTTTGGATCAAGGGTACAGGGTCTCACTATGCTGTTCAGGTTGGCCTTGAGCTCACTTTGTAGCTTGGGCTGATTTCAAACTTGCACAGATCCTCCGGCCTCAGCCTCCCGGGTGCTGGGATTACAAGCATGTGCCATCACACCCAGCAAGAGCCACTTCTGATAAAAAGCATGATGAAGAAAAAGCACTTCCGGTTTCCGTAGCATGATGACAGTGGTGTATGCTGACTCTCTCCCTTGGGCTTTAATTTGATCTCATATATTTTAAATGTTGATAAGGAAGCTTAATCCCACCAAGAAAGATTACAAATTAACAAACAGAAACACTCACATACAGCTCAGTGAATGCACAGGACTCGCCCATCCGGTTTATTCCACAACTCTTACAAACTCGAGTTAGTCTTCCTACAGAATCTGACCACATGGCATAATTTCACTTTTCTACCTAGAATTCCTCCATTTGGGGCCGGGGAGATGGCTCAGTGGAATAAGCGCTTCCCTGGCAAGCGCAAGGGCCTGAGTTCAATCCCCAGTTCCGGGAAAAAAAATAGAATTCCTGTGTTCACCATCTCTCCCAACACTGGGCTTGAGATTTTTGCTCACAAAGTGACACCAATACCCACGGGCATGCAAACCCAACAGCAATGTGTCATTTGTTTATTTTAGGCAATTGACAATGTTTTTCCTCATTAAAAACCAACCGAGTTATGCCTGTTCCACAGGGCAAAGAGAGAAGCCCGTGCATCTACACCATTTACTTCATGGGGAGGCGCTCTGTGTTCATCGGGTGCCGGCCCACGTGCGTGAGAGTGGTCATCGTGAGTCCAGCACCTCGGCGACGCAGGGAGCAGAGTCACCAGCTGGCTTTCCGATGGGCTGCCAGTGCCTTTGGGCCATCTCCATTGTCCTAGTCATCCATACAGTAGCAGCGAGGATAAAACTGAAGAACAGGGGCCGGGGAGATGGCTCAGTAGAATAAGCACTTCCCTGGCAAGCTCAAGGGCCTGAGTTCAATCCCCGGTTCCCCCCAAAAAACCCTCAGGAACAGCCCCCAGATCAGAGCTTCAGTGAAAGCTGCAGCATTCACACGTGGGTGATGAGCAAAGGCAGACCCTCAGAGTGCGTGGGGTCGCCCTGTTCCCCACGCGAACAGGAGCGGTCGCTCAGTGAGACACGCGGCAAGTGGTTTAGAAACCAGCACCCCAGAGCTAAGGGCCTCTGTGGGCCACTTGGGAATTGGCTGGAAAGTTCTCTGCGCCTCCTGCGGGTCTGCCTCAACAAAGGCGGGGGTGGGAGGTTCTGCCCTCAGCCTGCAGAGCCAGGGTAGGAGCAGAATTTGTCATCACGCTCTGGGGCAGAGGCAAAGGAGCCCACAAGAGTTTCTGAACCCCAGGACACTCATAAAATTCCCAGGGCCCACCCAGCAGAGCCCTCAGTAGCAGACAAACAGTGTTCAAATCCAGGGGCCAGGTGGGGTGACAGCCTGTGTCTCAGGGTGGCGGGGACCACGGGGGGGGG